AGAATAAAAGCAGTAGACTTTAAGCTCCATAGAGACAGGGATTGTGTCTTATTTACTTCTGTATTGCCAGACTCTACAAATATGCCAGGTATATACAGTATACTAGTAAATAATTGTTGCTCCCAGTTTCTCAGGAATGTACAATCAGTTTTGCCTTGTACACACCATCTTACCTTATCTACAAACCTAACTCACATGTTAGCCACTGAGGAACCTATTTATCTAATTGAAACAAAAGAGCCATTTCTTGAGGAAAAGAACTTGAGTTAGCATTTGAAGTACATCTCTAACCACCCGTCTTCTGTTCTTGAGCCAGTTTGATGTTAATAAAACAAAGCACATTTATATAATTGGATGCTAATAGGCACATTGTATTGAAACACTGTTTCCATGCAAGAGTTTTAGGAAGCAAAGTCACTAATTTTTTTGTTTATAAACTTCTTGGGTCCTGAGAATTCAAAATAGTGAGCGGTTGATGAGATCAACACAACTATAACCATAGTTTTATGGGAGGTTACAAAATGCATTTTGTGTGTGTGCGTGGTGGGGGATTTCTTAAGTTTATACATGATTTCCTTACATGTAAAGTGACCTTTAAAAATAAAATGATTGACAATGTATTTGTATAGTGCTTTACATAATGTGATGGCCCTATATAAATTTCATTAAATATCTTTTATTTGATACCAATTGTGCATGATATTTATTTTATTTTATTTTATTTTATTTATTTTTTTTAAATTTTTTTATTATTTATTTTTTAGTTCTCGGCGGACACAACATCTTTGTTGGTATGTGGTGCTGAGGATCGAACCCGGGCCGCACGCATGCCAGGCAAGCGCACTACCGCTTGAGCCACATCCCCAGCCCATGATATTTATTTTAGAGAATAAATGCTGTAACTTCTTCCTGTCCTGGAGGAGTTTGCAATCTGTAGAGAAATGAAACAAAACACACAAAAGAGTCCTGAAACTAGACCTCATGAAAAAGCTTACACAGATCACTGTAAGGAATGATAGACAGCACAGGGTTAACACACACCACAAAATTCACATTCGAGGGCATGTTTCTTATTTCATAGTAACAAGTCTAAGGAGGAAATAAAAGATGCTTTATGTAGCTGCTGTTTTCAAAGCATAATTTTTATTGCAAAAATCCTAAGTTCCATTCAATAAGTTTCTTCTTAAACCTGGTAACATAAAAATTCAATGGGCTTGTCAGGATTTGGAGAGGGTGCAGAGGGAAGAAGCACCTTCCACTTCTCACTGCAGGGCTCCTGAGAACCACAATTTGGCCTTGAGTCCCAATCCTCCCTCTGTGAGAAAACTGTTCAAGCTTTAGACACTTACAATAGGGTCCAACAATTAGAATGTTTATCTATGCAAAGTTTTTAAAAATCATATTCTCAGTGAGGAAGAGCAAACTCCCAATTGTTCAGGTGCCAAGGTATCTGTCATCAGTTGCTCTGATACCACGTTGACTGGCAGGATTCCTACGGCATCAGAGCACTGTCACTTTCACTATATAAAAGCTTAACCATAAAGGTTAATTTTCCTTTCTTTCTAAGACTCCTTATAATTAATATCCATTTTGAGGATTTCTGGGTAGAATATTTGCTTGTGGTCTGGAATGATTTGTGGAAAGATAGCTGGAACATTTAGGGATTGAGTGTAGGTTGTGGCCTAAATATTTCCATTCTGTATCAATTGAACTAAACAGATAATTCAGTTGATTTGAGATAGATCAAACTATCTATTGATTAATATCTATTTGTTGATGAATAAAACATACAAACTGCTATAATTTGATCTGATATGCACCCTGAAGGCCTTTGTATTAAAGGCTTCGTCCCTAACCATGGCACTAAAGGGAGGTGGTGGAACCATTAAGGGGGGCTACCTGGAGAAAGTTAGGTCATTGAAAGTGTGCTCTTAAAGGGAATGTTAAAACCCTTCCCACTTCTTCTCTCTCTTTGCCTCCCAGGTGCCTTGAAGTGATCATGCCAAGTGTTTCCATCACAATGAGTTGCCTCCCAATAAGACTGACAGCAATGGAGTCAACTGATCATTGACTGAAACTTATTTTTTTTGAGATGATATTATTTTTAATTTTTTAAATTTGTTCTAATTAGTTATACATAACAGCAGAATGCATTTCAATTCATTGTACACAAATGGAACACAACTTTTCATTTCTCTGGTTGTACACCATATAGAGTTGCACCACATGTGCAGTCATACATGTATGTAAGGTAATGATGTTTGTCTTATTCCACCATCTTTCCTACCCCAAGCCTCCTCCCCTTCCATCCATCTCCTTGGCCCAAAGTTCCTTCATTCGCCCCATGCCCTGCCACCCCATTATGGATCCGCATCCACTTATCAGAGAGAACATTTGGCTTTTGTTTTTTTGGGATTGACTTACTTTGCTCAGCATGATATTCTCCACCTCCATCCATTTACCTGCAAATGCCATAATTTTATTCTCTTTTAATGCTGAGTAATATTCCATTGTGTATATATACCACAGTTTGTGTATCCATTCATCATCTATTGAAGGGTATCTAGGTTGGTTCCACAGTTTAGCTGTTGTGAATTGTGCAGCTATAAACATTGACGGGGCTGTGTCCCTGTAGTATGCTGTTTTTAAGTCCTTTGGTTATAGACTGGAGAGAGGGATAGCTGGGTCAAATGGTGGTTCCATTCCAAGTTTTCTAAGGAATCTTCATAGTGCTTTCCAGATTGGTTGCACCAATTTGCAGTCCCACTATCAAAGAATGAGTATGCCTTTTCCTTCACATCCTCGCCAATACTTATTGTTATTTGTATTCTTGATAACTGCCATTCTCACTGACATGAGAGATGAAATCTAGAGTAGTTTTGATTTGCATGTCCCTAATTGCTAGAGATGCTGAACATTTTTTTCATATATTTGTTGACTGATTTTATATCTTCTGATAAGTGTCTGTTAAGGTCCTTAGTACAAGTTTTTTGAGTTCTTTATATATCCTGGAGATTAGTGCTCTATCTGATGTGCATGTGGCAAAAAATTGCTCCCAAAATGTAAGCTCTCTCTTCACCTCATTGATTGTTTCTTTTGTTGATAGGACACTTTTTAGTTTGAATCCATCCCATTTATTGATTCTTGATTTTATTTCTTGTGCTTTAGGAGTCTTGTTAAGGAAGTCAGGGCCTAATCTGATGTGATACAGATTTGGGCCTACTTATTCTTCTATTAGGCTTAGGGTCTCTGGTCTAATTCCTAGGTCCTTGATCCATTTGAGTTTTGTGCATGGTGAGAGATAGGGGTTAGTTTCATTTTCCAATTTTCCCAGGACCATTTGTTGAAGAAGCTATCTTTTCTTCAATGAATGTTTTTAGTGTCYTTGTCTAGAATGAGATAACTGTATTTATATAGGTTTGTCTCTGTGTCTTCTATTCTAACATTGGTCTACATTTGACTGAAATTCTGAAACTATGAGCCAAAATGAACCTTACTCATTATAAGTTTATCTCAGGTATTTTTCTCATAGGCAAAGAAAGCTAACACATCAACTAAACTAAATAAAAAAGTAATAGATCCACAATAATATGTGGCCCTATATAACTTATGTGCTTTAATATTTTGCAAAAGTCTTGAAGCAAAACTTAAAAACTAGGGAAGAGGGCTGGGATTGTGGCTYAGTGGTAGAGTGCTCTCCTACCACTGAATTACAACCTCAGCCTATGACAGATTCTTAAACATTATAATTGTCTTAGTCTCATAATTTGGAGACAGCTAATCTCTGAGTATTAAAAAGAGACACTTAAAATGTCTTTATAATTAAAACATTAAAGTATAAAAACCTATGCTGTCTGTTGCTATAGGGTTCTATGACAGAAAATTAAAATCCAAGATATTATTGGCCTTTAGAAATTAATATTCCTATTTTTGATAGTCAAAGATTAAGAATCACATGGACGCCAGTTTCATCTACTGGGATACCTGTAATTTTAAAAAGGAAAATAACAAGTGTTTGTGAAGATATGGAGAAACTGAAACTTTTGTACATTGCTAGTGGGAATGTAACAGGTACACATTGAAAAGTTTGAGGGTTTCTCAAAAAATTGAAACAGAATTAACATTTGACCCAGTAATTCCACTCTTACGTACTTCCCTACAATAACTGAAAACAAGGACTCCAACAGATACTTGCACATAGCTGTTCAGAGCAACATTACTCACAGTAGTCAAAAGGTGGAAATAACCCAAGTGTTCACCAACAGGTGAATGGATTTAGAAAGTGTGGTATGTCATACAATGGAATAYAGGTAGACATAGAAAGGCATAAAGTTCGGATACATGTTGTAACATGAATGAACCTTTAAAACATTATGCTAAGGCTGGGTTGTAGCTCAGTGGTAGAGCACTTGTGTCATACACGTGAAGCACTGGGTCAATCCTCAGCACTACATAAAAGTAAATAAATAAAATAAAGGTGTTGTATCCATCCACGACTAAAAAATTAAAAAAAAACCCAAAACATTATGCTAAGTGAAATAAGTCAGACACAAAAGAATAAATATATGATTTTACTTATAAAGAATATTTAGAAYAGGTAAATTCATAGAGATAGCAGACTGGCAGGTATTAGGGACTGGGGCTGAGGAAATGGAGAGCTCTTAATTAATGGGTACAGAGTTTTTCTGGAGGGATGAAAAATTTTGGAAATAGTGATGATGGTTGTACATTATTGTGAATATAACTAATACAAATGAGATGGTGAAAATGGCAAATCTTATGTTACATATATTTTACCACAATTAAAAAAAGTTTCAACTCACATTTGCAACATGACCTATTTCCTGTTTCCTTGGAGATCTTTTAATATTCATAGATCTAACTATCGTACAACCTAATATCACCTAATGTTTCTCTAATATAGGGAGTGTAGTATATAAAGGCAGAGGGTATAGCTCTAGTGGTATAAATCACAGAGTCCATGTTTAAGTATCTAGAATTTAAATTTCAACTTGCGAATTTAGGTTTTGCGTCTTTCCTGCAGAAGAATCATCACTGAATGCTGACTCAAACAGAGCAAAAATGGACTTCTTGAAAACCTTTTTGAAATTCTCCCCAATAAATAGGTAGAGTGTGGGAGAAAAGACACTGTTGAAAGAACTGGTTACCACTGTAACTACCAGACTCAAGTCTAAAAGGAGTGACTGGTTCGTAGTGAGAATTAAGCCCTGGTGTATATGGTAGGGCATCCAACACACAAAGAAAGAGATAATAGCAGTCATCATGACTTTGAAGGGCTTTCTGGATTTAAACAGGCTCCTCTCTTTCATCTTACTGGCTACTCTTTTGTAACAAAAGATGATAATGAAGAAAGGTAGAAGGAAGCCCAGCAAGAAGCGGCTGATGAAACAGGTTGCATGAATCCGTCGCCTTAAAGTTTGCATCTCTTCACTTTCCCAGTTAGCTGACACAGCATAGTTATTTCTGCAGGTCACCTTTCCATTATGGTCATGATGTGTCTCCCTGAAAACCAAATAGGGTGAGCTGAGGACAGTAGCAGATATCCAGACTCCCAGGATAATGTTGGAAGCAAAGCGTGGGTTTCGGTGCTTCTGGGACCACACTGGGTGAAGAGTGAGAAGATAACGATCCAGACTGATGACAGAGAGGAAGAAAACAGAGGCGGACATCCCCAGAGACAAAGTGCTATTGAAGATCTTACACAATGCTGTTCCAAAGATCCAGTAATGGTCCTGAAGATAGTAGATGCCCAAAAATGGCAGAGTCAATATTGAAATAAAATATGAGAAAATGAGATGAAAAAACAAGAGGGTATTGACTGTCTTTTTCATCTTGAATTTTAGCACCCATAGATAGAGGCCGTTGGTGATGGTACCGACTATAGATGACATGAACAAAGAAAGGGCAATAATCATGTCTGAGGCAGAAGCTGAAAAGTGAGTGCTATTTCTTACTAAAGTAGAAGTATTGATCAGGTCATCAGTAGAGTTGATCAACTTCATAATTACCTATGGAGAAAAACAAAGCAAAATAAAATATTAAATGTAGAGATTAAAGTAGTGATTTTTGCATAGTAATAGTCCAAATGACAATAATTTAACAATGGCAAACATATTATTTCTATAATAATACAGACAAAATGTTTTTCTAAGGTGTACACTTTTATGTTGTATGTAGAATTAAGATCAGATTAATCTGAGCACAAAAAACAGAAGAATTACAGATGAAATAAATGTGAAAGAGAAAAAAAGATTTGGACTTTGGGACAATTGTTAAGTAATCAATTTAGGCTAAAAAAAATCTTCTATTCAGATGTTAACTGGAAGTCTGACCTTTCCTGATGGGCACAACTTCTTGAGAAAGGCAATTCAGAGTCATTTTTACTTGACTAAGACTTGGTTGGGACAGGGACAAACGTTGCTAATGAAATAAACTTGAGTAACAAAAATAATAGCAACTGTTGCAAATTAGGGGTTGCCTAATTAGATTTCCCTTATAAGCTAACTATATTTAGTAAATACTATTATCTAGTATTCTGATACTTGGCATATAACAGTAATCTTCATATGAGAGCTGCAGAGTACTATGAGAATGTGGAATCTTCAACCAAAGAGGTAAGTATGTTATAGGATACAAGGAGTAGTTATTTTCACTTGAGGAGAGGAGGAGGAAAAAAGTCCAGAAACTCACATTTATCTAGTGTCTGTGTTATTCCATAAAAAAATCATTTCTTTTTTCTCACAAGCCTGTGAGGCAAATTTTTTTTTTAATATTTATTTTTTAGTTATTGGCGGACACAGCATCTTTGTTTGTACGTGGTGCTGAGAATCGAACCTGGGCCTCACGCATGCCAGGCAAGCGCGCTACCGCTTGAGCCACATCCCCAGCCCCACGTGAGGCAAATTTTTAAGCAGGAGGAAAGTGAGTTTTAAAATGGCTAAAGATCTTTTATCACCCACATTTTCCACCACGCCTTTGTTGTGACAGATGGGGAACTGTACCATTGTTTTATACTGCCTGAAAATTGGCAATTGACAATGCTCCATGAATCAAGAGTACCTAAATATCAAAGTATCTAAAGCATCAAATTTCTTGAATAACAGTTCCTGTAGCAGCAAAAATATAAACCCCAAAATGTTTTGGAAATAGCTATTATAAAAGAGTCATATCAAAAATTGGTTTTTGATGAATTGGGTGAAGCAATGGAAATGACTAATGATGCATTTTTTTTTCACTAAGCAAAAACATTTTAATATTATAAAGGGAAAAGAAATAAAATAATTGTTATATAAAAACCACAACTGACTTAAGTCAATGCTGCCTTCTAAGGGACTTGTGAAATTTTCCTTTAAAATAGAAAAAAGTTCCTCTCTCAGTAAAATCCCTTAATTGTCTGCTTTGTGAATAAAACTCAAAGTCTAAAGGGTATGGAATGGATAGCAATGGAGAGTGAAAATTCAAGAAACAGGTCATGTTAAGGTCCTGAGACCTAGAGGAGAGGGCAGGGGAGTGGGGGTGGTCTTAAGAGAGGAGGCACAGGAAGAAGCCAGCAGGAGGTTAAGAGGCCTGAAGAGAAGTCAATGAGAGGGCTGGGGATGTGGCTCAAGTGGTAGCGCGCTTGCCTGGCATGCCTGCGGCCCAGGTTTGATCCTCAGCACCACATACCAACAAAAATGTTGTGTCCGCCGAGAACTGAAAAATAAATATTAAAAAAAAATTCTCTCTCTCTACCCTCTCTCACTCTCTTAAAAAAAAAAAAAAGTCAATGAGATATTTTGAGAAGCAGAAAAGACTGAGGGGGTGTAAAAATAAGAAGGTCTAATGCCCAATTTTTGTCTATTTGCTATGTTTTGATATAATATAATGTCCCTTTCCCCCATTAAGCCACAATTGTCTTGTGTTGGTGGTTGTGGAGAATCAAAAGAGTTTGTGTTCCCTATTTGGAAATGGAGTGCGATGGAGAGAAAAAAGACAGCAGTAGGAGGTGAGATGTGACTGAGAGGAAGCACGCAGTGGAAATTGGATAGATATTGGGGCTTGAGTAGCCAGGGAGAAACATAATCACCTGGAGAATTTCCCAGGAGGGAGGGAGGGAGGGAGGGAGGGAGAGAGAGAGAGAGAGAGAGAGAGAGAGAGAGAGAGAGAGAGAGAGAGAGAGAGAGAGAG